CGTGCTCAAGGTCACACGATTACAATTTTGAGTTGTCAGACGATGCAGCCTCGACGACAGCCAATCACACGTGGCCGCCAATTCTGCCAGCATCTAATCAACTGATCCAGCGAACAATGACTGACGCCTAAATGAAGCTTATTCAGCCCGGCCCACACCACCTTAGCAGAGAGATGCGAATGCATGCGTATGTAAGTTTTTCATCCTCTTCTACAAACGGTGGGACAGACACCTCCTACGCACTACTCAGAAATTGTCAGCTTAGGTCAGGTTTTTTTGAAGGAACTCCATGACCAGCTCAAAGTCATGGCGAAATCCTAGCGATTTCACTCAACTGCCGAGAGTTCTGAATCCGACAAACGTTGACCACGGAATAAAGTACGCTGGCGACCGTTTTTGCCGCAAAAACAGTCAATCACGACCTTGACATAACCCTACCAGTCTCCTAGACAACATGGAAGGAGTTTGCCTGCTTGCGACTCAGTGGCTAAAGACTAAGGTGCTGCAGCTGTACAAAAGGGGTTCACAAACGCTTAGCGTAGCATATGGTAGGCACAGTCAACAGACAGTTCGATTAGAAAGGATTACGTAGATGTGGTTTTCATACAAATGAGCTTGCAGTTTATTTTACTCACGGCATGATATTGCCTTGGCTACGAGCCTTTTAGGCAGACCGCAAAACTCTTACAGGGTGAAAATTGATAAAGTAGGTAATATATATCTTTACAACCGGCTTTGGATACCTTTCTGAAGTGAAAAATAATTTGTAGAAAACACACTTTGTACTTTGTACTTATTTATTATTCAATTCCGTCTTCTTCAAAATGCTATCCTTTTCCACTTCCGTGGACGACGCCATCTGGCGATCGCATATCGCCACCACCCCCTAGTGACAGTTGTTCACTCCATGCAAATGACAGTAATTATCACTCCACGTACCTGGCCCAGGACCAATGCTCACAACCTACCGTAATTTCCTCCCTTCCCCAGCGCAAGGACTTCTACACGCCGATCTCGACATGCGCGCGACGTGAAAACGATGAGTTGTAATCATAAGACACTTAGTGACCCCGTCCAACCGTACGGTCTTCATTATCGCTATAATTCTACTGGCCTGATAATGAATTGCCGGAAAAAATATGTTGACCAAGCAAACGTTTTAAGACTCGACAATAATTTGAACCATGCATTACTCTGTACTGGGATACTACATAGGGCTCAATACATTTTGCAATGAATGAGCGTGTTTCTTGCATATGGTAAGAAAGAAATTCATTTCAAACCGTAAAAGTTTTCAAGGATAGGCCGAAACCCAACGGTATATTGCATCACGTACCGTGCAGGCACAGGATAAATTCGACACTCACCTTGCTTGGAAACAAAATCGCGTACTTTCATGTCCAGGGGTTGGAACAATTCGCCAACAGGTGGCTTAATGGAAACCTCGAGTGTGATTGGTTTGGCCAGTTCATCTTCCCCTATGCTCAGTTGATACATGAGACCAAATCGAACGGGCTGGGTGGACTCACAAAAATTGACGTCGAAGAAGACCACGCTGTTGGCGCCGTGCGGTAGCGATGCTATCAGTAAAAAAAGAACATTTAAGAAATCCCGCTCGAGATAACAATGGCTTATTAGCGGTAAAAAGAAAAAGCGCCGACTAAAACTAGGCAGCTAAGTAGCCAAAACCCAGTAAGCGAAAACTGTAAAATAACATGGCCACTTAAATGGTAACAGTGGGTGGGATTTAAGACATATAACAAGGAGGAGTGCATACTGGCACATTGCCGCCATTTACTGTAAAACAAAATATTCCCAAAACTTCAAGCGAACTGGCGTATCCAAACACATGCTTTCCTTAAAAATGTGCTTTACGATAGAATTTCGTACAGACTGCCTCAAAAATGCCATGTAATCAAGGAGAAAAAAATCACTAGGGAATTGGGAGGACTTCGGTCAGCGTAATTAATAGAGGCGGCTGAGAAAATGCTTAAACAATCTATGATTGAAGTGATTGATGAGACTGAATTATCTGCTGTATTAATATGAAGAACCGACTCAATCAATGTTTTCCGATAGAAAACCACAAATCAGAATTTAGGTTAGGATTTGATGAGATGGCACATTTACTGTATCAGTGAGTAGAGACTCAGGGTTGAAGTCCCAGGTAACGTAAAGCTGGATTTTGCTATAGATGGCTGCCAACGGCTAATAGGCCAGCGATAGCCATCTCAGTACCCCTCCTATAACCATATATATAAGCCCCAGACAAGAGAAACTGGGAAGCTCTGCGAACTTTACAGACTCAACCAGTCCAGAACCAATAAGAACAATAACAAACTTCCAACTCCAAGAGGGCAGACTCACGAATCTCTGGGAAGGACTCTAAACAGTGCGCCTTGGTGGTATCTGTCGGCACCCGGGCACAGACGTGGAAGAGGGTGGCCTGGGTGAGACTGCGATTGGTCAAACGCAGCTCCATGTTCACCTGACCCGGCTGACCGAAGACGGAGATGGTGCGTAGGAAGCGTGCCTCCACGTAGAGTGGCTCCGAGAAGGGTGGCGTTACACCGAACCAGTCAGCACTCTGACTGCTGCTGATGGCAT